TGGTTCTAGAGCCTTAGGTCTCAATGAATTCTTTGGTAATTTCTATCCAAAAGCTTCCGGTGAAATTAGGGATGTGTCTTTGCTTTTGTGACTGATTTCTTTGAAGAATTAGCTGACATTCATGATGTTCTTGAATATAGTGCCCCATTTAGGCCGATAAGTCTTTGTAACTTTTGGTATGAAATCATTTCTAAAATTATGGTGACAAGATTAAAAGTGGTTCTGGATCAATGTATATCTCTTTGTTAAGAGGCCTTTGCTTCAGGTAGATTGATCCATAGCAATGTCATTGTAGCCCATGAGGCTTATCACTATCTCAAAAGAAAGAAGACGAGTAAAATGTTCAAATTTTCCCTTAAGATAGATATGGGCAAAGCATATGATAGGGTGGAATGGAATTTCTTGTGGTTTTATTAATATTTGGCTTCTCAGTGTCTTAAGTTTACCTTGTCATGAAATGTGTGAATTCTATCAGTATAAATGTTTACTTATTTGGTGAAAAGGTTGCTTTTATTTCTCTAGGTAGTGTGTCGAAACAAGGGGATCCATTATCCCCCTATCTATTTATTTTGGTGGCAGAAGTTCTCTCATTTTTTATCATCAAAAATATCAAAGCTGGTTTCTTGAGAGGTGTTAAATTAAGCAGTAGTTGCTCAAAAATCTCTTATAGTTTTTTTTTTTTTTTGTAATGATGCCCTCTTCTTTATGAATGCTTCATGAGACAATGTTATCAAATTGGTTGAACTTATCAAGATTTATTATGATGCATCTAGTCAAGCTACGAATTTTGAAAATTTACGTATCTATTTTTCACATAAAATACCGGACTCGGTCAAACAAGAGGCATGTGAGACTTTAGCTATTGGTGAATCTAATGACCTTAGCAAATATCTGGGCAACCTGAGTATTTGAAGTAAGACAAAGCATCAAGCTTTAGCTTTTGCTAGGGAAAAAGTTTGCAAAAAAGGAAGTGATTGGAGTCAAAAACACCTATCTTATGCAGGGACGGAAGTGCTCATTAAATCAGTCATTAACGCAGTCCCTATTTTCTCCATGGTTGCTTCAAGTTTCCTATTAAGTCTTGTAAAGAACTAAATGGTCTCATCTCAAACTTATGGTGGGAAGGGACCCTAGGCAGCGATAGAACTCATTGGGTTGTATGGGACAAAATGAAGGAAAGAATGATGGAGGAATGGGGTTCTAAGACTTTGTGTTGTTTAATGATGCATTATTGGCTAAGATGACTTGGCAACCCCTTCAACACCCGAAGGCTCTCTGGGCTAGAATCCTTAAGGAATTTATTTTCCCAACTCACATTTTCTCACAGCATATCTTAGGGCTCCAAAGCCTCATGGTGCTAGTCCAGCATTGTTGATGGTTTATTGTTATTTCTTCAAAAAAGATTTGTGTTAGCAGATAAGGAATGGTAAGGATGTGAGAATAGGGAAAGACAAGTGGATTCACACTTTAATAATTTTTTTTATTATCAATTGGGTCTAGATTTAATTTAAAGGTCCAATTTAATATTAAAAATTTTGTAATATTTATATATTAACTATCTAGTTATACTCTGCATAATTCAGATTTAATATTAAAATTGTTAATAAATTTTTATTTTGAGAAATATAATATTAAAAATTAAAATATATAAAACCAGTGTTTTTTTAAAAAATATCTTTTTAAAAAACATAAGTTAAAAATTTTAAATTTGCACTGTTAAAAATACATCTGAATAATCAATATATAAAAATTTTAATATTAAATTAAACTCTCTAAATTAAACCTAGACTAGATTGATAATAAAAAAAAATTATTGACAATTTTTTATAAGTTTAATAATTTTTTATTTTAATAAATATAAAATAATACTTTTAATTTAGACCATCTAGATCGTAATCTAGATGCCCAGATCTCATCAAATTGTTGAGTATGATGGTGCTCATTATTAGTGTGATGAGAGCTGGAGATAGACTCCATATACAGCACGAGTGTATGAGACTTGTAGCAGCGAACAAGCGATACCTAATATCAAATTTTATTAAAAATTTTGAAATTCGAGTTCTTTTAATTTTGGAAAAATATAGTTTCTAGTCCCTGAAATTATAGTTAACTTATATGCATGTTGAGATTTTTATAATTTTTTCATTAAGTTCCTGAGATTGAAGTCAACTTTGGTAAGTATTTAGCATTACTAAATATCTTGCTACACCGTCACCAACGCATTATCGTTAGGGACTTGATTAAAGCCGATCATAATTTTAAGAATAATTTTTTTTATAAAAATTACAAGCATCTTAACCAAATTTAATTACAACTCTAAAAGTCCAAACTAAGCTTTTTCTTTAATTTTTTGTTAAGTTGAACATGATGCATGTATTGAGAGAAATGTGGTGGCAATTCTACTTGTTTCTTCCAATGCTTAATTAATTGCTTTCTTACTTTTGGTTTGTTTTATGTCGTCATGTTTACTATCATGGAAAAATTTATTTTGGCTTAAAAATTTTAGAAGACGCTGAAATTCTTTCATTTGGTTCATTAATTTTTATATTAACATCTGTGAGACTAGAAACTTACGAGATATGTAGCTTAGTTAAAGCACAATAGTTAATTGGAGGATTCAAAAGATTATTTGCTGAATTTTTTTTTTTACATGAACACTCTTGGGGGATTTTTTTTTTTTTTTTTTTTTTGGTTGGGTCAAGAAAGAACTTAGATAGGGAGATGCTTGATTGCTTATAAAACCTCACCCATCTTGATATGAATGTTGCTGATCAGACTGAATCTATAGCAGAGTGAGATGATCTGGTGTATTGAATAAAGTTATATCTATTATGACTATCAAACTTATTCAACTGTTAAGATGCCTAGCGTCAGATTGAAGGCTGCTCGATCGGCTGCTTCTATTGCAGTTTTCAAATCTCTATCAACAAGGCGCTGTCTACTTTATTTGATTGCCTTTCTTCATATATTTACATGATAATTGATAATACTCCATGACTCAGAATCCTATGCATCTTTAAGACGCGCGATGAATAAAATCTTTAATCATCTTCTGTAAAAGAATTATAATACTTATTTCCCATAAAAAGGCTCCAGACACACTTACACTATCATTAACACTGATTAATTTTATTCCTCTCCTGCACCAATTTTCCCCCTAAAAACACATGATTACCTTAACGTACGTATAGAACAAATCAACAGTTATCTAGTTAGTTCGCATGGATGAATCTTTGGCTCGATATATGTGTTTGATCCTTACGTGAATAAGGACCCTTCACCAACCGGCAATAAGGCTCATTACACAACAAAACTAAAGCAAGCATGCAAAGACCAATGGAAGACAGGAACACTAGAACTAAACATTTCAATGATATATACATATATACACCACACTTATGATTGAAACAATATTATTAATTCATGATTCATCAATCTCTGCGCGCGCGCGCGCACTCTATTCAAAGTAAATGATCGTCAACGAAGAAAAAGGAAGGAGTAGACAACTCACGCAGTACTGAGGGGTTAAACGTGGGCACACAATCACTTTATTCTCCTGGCATTCTTTTTATGCAATAATTAGTCAACAATTATTAAGCAAACTCGTAATTAATCAAAGGTCATATATACATTTAATAATTAGCGTGGATCGCTCTACAAAAATGTTTCTACGTACTTTGAGTGAATTAGTGTGATGGTCACGCCAAGTATCTCTCCCACATGTTCTCTCTTCTGAGTGGATATAAAGCAGCCTCTCCTCTCGCTGCGCTTTAAGGTGTCACTCTTCTGATGAAAGCTTTTCAGCTCATTCCCTCCCATCAATTTGCGAATATGAGCAAATAGCTGCTAGGTTCCAAAGTTTGAATTTATTCAGCAAAGCTATATATGGTTTTAAGTTTCAACTCCTTCTGGCACCAGCATCCAAGAAACTTCAAATATACATAGTTTGATCATGATAACGTAAATAATTGTATCTAAGTTCAATCTTTTTCACACAATCTTCTCGAAAGGTCGAGAGATGAAGGTAGGGCATGCATAAATTATTTTAATGAAAAAAGAAATACAAAACAATAATCGAACTCTTGTACTGGTAAGAAGTTAATCTTCTTAATGAGGGGTCTTTAGATCAAATCCTAAATTTTTATTATTGATTAAATTTTTAGTGGGACATGCCTCACCAAAAGTACTACCTTCAAAAGTTGCAAATTGAATTAGTTTAGATCAAACATCTGTATACATGATAAATACTTGCACCAAGGAATTCTTGAAAAGAATATTGCAGGATGGGAGATGACCATGAGGGCGGGGGTGTGGGTCACTAGCACCATCATGATTGGCTTTGAAAATTTTGGTCCAAATAATAATTGAAAGGAAAAATAAATTATTTTAAAATTAATGAACAAAATAGAGGCACGTGAGAAGCGTGTGAGAGAATAAATCCCTTGCTTGAGGGAGGAGGGTGAGTGGGCCCCTCAAGAAGAGTGGTTTAAGGTAAGATTTCTTTCACAAAAAACATAACTTTGATTTATGTGCTATACTCGAGTTTGAATATAGATTTCTGTAATTTTTTTTGATATCTTAAATCCTTGTATTGTTGTTTTTTGTGGTTTAAATCCCTTCATGAGTTGTTATACGAACTTATGGTACCAAAAATTAAAAATTAAAAATTAAAAAAATTAAAAAGCAAAGATATAGAGATCTATGATAAAATTAGAGTAAAGTGTAGGACCAAAGTTATGTTTATCATGGAGGAACCCAAATATTACCCCAGCTTCTCTCACTCCACGACAAAACAACGTTGTGACTTATGTTGCTGCCACACCTCATCTCCCATCCAATGCTTCTCATTCTTCCACGCTGACCATCCCCCGAATCTCACCGTCCCTTTCGCCATTGGCCATCTAATCCAGATCCCGCCATTCGTCACCGACACGACACATTTCCCTGCCTTCTTATTCACTGCCCCTCCCTAACTAACACACACAAACCGCTTCTCATCCTTCGCATTACAGTGGCACAAGAGGTTCGAAACAGAAGGGTTCAGCGAAAGCTGATACATATATACATATTATCTCTCTTATCAGATCAGTCGGGTTTTGCTGTGAAAGTGTGAACGGATTTTTCTCCTCTGCAAGAGCACGTCTGCATGGAGTCTTCGGACCACTGGCTTCAGGTGTGTAATGTCGTTTCATGAATATATTTGCTTCTGATCATTTTACGTGATTTGAGCATTTCTATATTAAATGGAGAGGAGGGTACATGTTTCAGGGAGCTGTTCAAGAGGAATCTGGAGCAATGGATTCTTCATCTTATTCTCCACCATTAATGGAGAGGAGGGTAAGGCCAGCCCCAACGGACCAAGCTTTGAAGTGTCCGAGGTGTGAGTCCACAAACACCAAGTTCTGCTACTACAACAACTACAGTCTCTCTCAGCCGAGGTACTTCTGCAAAACTTGCAGGAGGTACTGGACCAAAGGAGGCACATTGAGAAACATCCCAGTAGGTGGAGGTTGCAGAAAGAACAAGAAAGTCTCGTCCAAGAAATCCAACGACGTCGTTCACCCAGTACTGTCAGAACCCAAAGATCCTCATCTCACAGCTTCTAATTTCCCAGATCATGCAATTAATTTTCCCCACCCAGTGGGACTGATGGTGGAGAATTCGAGGCTCATGGAAACTAAGTTTGGAGGGATAAACAATGTTATGGGAAATTTTGGCGATGCTGGGTTTTCAGATCAGATAAATTGTAGCCACAATGGGTTATTGGCTCAGAATTGCCAGGGTTTTGGAGGAAATATGCGTTACTTTGATGGCTATAACATTAATGGCGAGACTTATAGCACAATGGACTCTTTTTACCATGGCAATGAGGATCAAATTACTGTTGGTGCAATTCATGATGTGAAGCCAAACCCTAAGCTATTGTCTCTTGAATGGCAAGACCAAGGTTGTTCTGATGCTGGGAAGGAGCCTTTTGGGTATATCAACAGTCTCTTGGGCTTCTTTTGACCTCACACGAATATTTAAAGAGTGTGTGAACGAGAGGCTAGAGGGTCCCAAACGGAGGGCTGGCTTGGTGCGTTACTTTTGGTTTTATATATATTCGTGTTTGTGTGTGTAAACGCATTACACATTTGAAAGGTTTAGGATTTTGTTGTAACTTCGAGGAAGATATTGATAGTTCTCTTATAAAAAGAAAACGCACTAGTTATCTGGTACCATTTTCTTTCAAAAGCTCGTATCTAACGGGATTAATATCATGTCTCTGACCAAAGCTACAGTGCATGCAGAGAAACAAACACAGACACCAAGTCGAAACCAACATTGTGCTAAAATCACAATAACGAAGGAATGTTGAAGGCATTGTAAATATTTTTGGCAACTTTCAGTTTGGCACGTTTCTGCGCAGACTAAAAGTAAACTTCGCTCAGAAAGCAGTGGAATTATGATATAAGTATTAATAATATATGGATTTCGATATGGATAGTGTTTGAAACTATTCAGTGCAAGTATTGTAGCATATTATTTCTGGCTAACTGACTGGCGACTGGCTGCGACAACAGCAAAAAGCATCAATTCAATGGGGGGCGTTCCGAGAATCGACCTCGGGACCTCTCGCACCCAAAGCGAGAATCATGCCCCTAGACCAAACGCCCTTGTTTTCCATTAATTAATTTTAAAATTTATTTCTTTATCAAATGATTGGCATGGTAACATTCTTCGTTTAACATGTTTTATAACAATCGTGGTCTATGCATCTACCATATACGTTTATCTCCCCAATTGCTGTCATTAGTTACCTTTTTTTTTCCCCTAGTGTAGTGTACAAGAGTGGAGATAAGGGTGACTGGTAGGAGCTATGATCCTCCCTAATTTTTTAATTTTTTTTAATGAAATATAGAAGTTATATATTTTCAATTCTCATAAGTTGGTGCATTATATAAATTTTGAGATACTAAATAAAATTTTTATTTCAATTATATAATAGTCTTTTACGCATGTATAATGTAATTATTTTAATAGTTTGAAGATAATTGTTATAAAATCTATTTATTTCTAATAAGATAATGTTACAATTGCCCTTTAAGCATTGATGTCATTTAATTTTGCTTTCATTTTATATTTGATGAAAGAAATTATGAAAATTATTACTAAAGTATTGCAACAAAAATCTCAATATATATTGAATGTCATATGCTTGATATCTAGCTATTATAAAATTACTTATTTAAAAGTTAAAAGGTTATGATTAAGATATGTTTTTTTAGGAAAAAATTACTTTTTTTTTTGCAATAACCAAGTTATTGAAATTTATTATATGAATAATTTTTACTATAATATATTTAGATCTAATCAACATAAAAAATTAAGTGTTGATATAGAGTTTTTTAGGTTGAACAAAACTTTGAATCTCAATTATATATTTAAATTATTTATTTTTATTTTATATATATTTAAAATTAAATATAAATATATATGTTAAAATATTTATATTATGTTAGTGATATATATATGAATTTAATTTTCTTTTGATTATCATATATGCTTTATTATCTCAGCCCCTTTTAATAAAATCCTCCAGCTCTACTCCTGATAGTATAGTAACAATAAAATTATTGTCTAAGTTTGTGTTGTTATGCATTAGTGACAGAAAAATCACCTTATATTGGATCTGTTTGTTTTAAAAGTAAAAAAATAAGTTATTTTTAAATATTTTAAAGATTTTATTTACAAAAATTATTTGGTAAAGATTTAATAAAAATAAGGCATTATTTTATGTTTGAACATAATAATAAAAAATTGATTATTAGTTAATTATTTTTAAATTTTATGATATCCTTTTTATTTTTGTTTTAAACAAATGATTTATTATTTAATAATTTTAAAATTTTATAATATCTTCATATATCCCACCTTTGTATTTTCTCTCATCTACCGTATCGAATTATTTTCAGAAACCACTCAAAATAGCTTGTTAAAATAATCAAAAATTTATTTTTTTTTCAGATTTTGATTATTTTTAAAAATTTAAACAAATATTATAAAAATTCACAAAATAAATTTTTTCAAAGAATAAACATGTCGATTATATGATTCCAAAAATCAATGCATTGAGAAAAAAAAGAACGCTAAACTAGAAGTTAGCTGACAGAGAAACAAAGTTGGCGCCAGAAGGGAAAAAACCTGAAAATAATGCCCTAATTTCTGAAGTCAATGGTGGTTGGATATAAATTACAAAGGTTTATTATATGTATTTAGTTAATTTGTTTAACTAATTAGCTCAACAAAAATTTAGATATGTATAAGATTAAAATTAGATACTACACGACAGTAAACCATGATTTTTTTTTTTCGGTGACCAAAACGACAGGATGCCATGATAGATATCTAAAATTATTCATCAAATCGACAGACATTTGTGCCAATGTTATTTAAAATAATTTAATTAATTTTTTTTTGAATAATTAGCCAACCAAATATGATTTAAAAAAAATTTTGCCCCACAAAAGTCAGCCTAACGCACGCTGCATTCAACAATATAGTATATTTCAATTTTTCAAAACAATTTCACAGCAACTTGTGTTTTTTTTTAAATTGAAAAATCCGGTAACCTTGTTGAAGTTTCAAACCAAACCAAAAAAAGTCGAGAGAGAGAACACATTAGAAGAGTTCATCAATTGCGTAAACATTTTTATCATACCGTGGTGGTAGAATGACGACTGACAATAATATCAAAGAGAAGTTCATCACCCAAGTCAAACTTATTCAAACTTAGTGAAGTAAACATTTTTAGTTATCTACTGAGAATTATTCAAAATTATTTCTGGTAAGAGGAAAACCAAATTATTACCACAAAAAAATCATTATTTATTCTAACAAAGTTACAACCGAAGACTCTTTAGAGTCAACTATACTATTAACATTGCACAAGGGAGTTCAATTGGCAGGCTCATATTTGCAAATGCAGTCGTATAGTTTCCCTTTAATCAACTTTTCAGCCAACCTCTGGTTTTTCACCATTGCAAGCTGCCAACAAAGTTAAAATAAAGAAAGAGGAAGTGTGTTAAATTAACCTCTTAATTCCACATCATTAACAGTGGCATGTATACATGTAGGAGACCAAATAATTATATGCTTCATTTTTACATATGCTTGGAATTTGGATAGAGAAGGACAAGATGGCAAAGGAAGGTTCGACTTAGATATTTTCCTCGGTTCATACCTTGACTTTTCATTCTCTTCCCTTCTCAATCCAAACACATCCTTAGAGAATTTATTGAATGCAATTATCGGTGAAAGAAGCAACAATCAACATGAAATATGTTTATATTTGGTCACACATAATTTACTGTCAACAATAAGCAACATTGACTATGATGTTTTGTTCAAGCACAACGCTTAGTAGGGAGTGGCAAAGATGAAAACACATGAATGATTGAGTGTCAAACTGAAATGAGAGCCACGGTCCAAGCAAGGAAGCCTAATGAGTTCTAAGAATCCATGTGATAACGAGTCTAACAACGAGCTAAGTGTTTAAAAGACAAAGAATAGGGAAGGTAACCAACCAAAAAGCATAAAAAGGAAGACTTGGTAAGCCCTACACTGAAATCCCAACCAAAATGCCATGTTTGGTTGGGATGAATAGAAAGTAAAGGAGAATGTGATCACGGAAAACAAGACTAGCTTTTTCCTTTTTATTGTAACATCTATTATACTCTAGTCACCTAGTTTCTATTAATTTTTAAAATTCAGGATCATTTCAGCCCAACTTTAGCTGGAAGATCACTAAATATCCTAAACTCAACTGTGCGTTGTTTTTATCCTTGGACGGTCAAGAATCTTATGTCAGTATCCCTACCGTTAACACGCTTAACTTCCGTTATGTGGATCCCACTATTTGCATTTTTTTAATATTTTTTTATCATAAAATCCACATCATCGACCTCCATAGCCACAACCCACCATCTGCAACAACCCACACACTGCCTTCTCTTCCCCTTTGCTCAACTCAGCCTTCTGCTTCCAGAAACTGCCACTTGCCAACATGCCCACGCGGTGGGGCCCGACCAGTGCTGCTTTGTCATCATCCAGTCCATCAATGCCCCTGTCAACATCATGTGGTCTGGGATCCGGCATTTCGACAATCCCTAGGCATACAAGCACATTGTGAAGAGCTGCCAGGTCGTCATGGGCAACAGCATTCCAATGAATATGCCACGAAGTGCCCAATAGTTCCTCAGCGTGGATTCTCAAAGTGGAAGGTCATGATGTGGCAGATTCTCAAAGTCGAATTAGTTTGGCCCTTTCTGACTCTGGTCCAATCCCATCTAGATTAAGAAGTAATCTCCATGAAATTGCAGATCTTGGTTTTGTTGCTGTTAATTTTTTCACTGTAAGTTATCACAAGTGGAAACTTGGTCTGTTCTTGGATTCTGGAATAAAGGTCACTACAGAGGTTGCTAGTAATGTCACTACGTCTGCTTGTAACAAGAAGGTCAACGCTTCATTCGGTTTTGGTTGCATTGTTTCAGGTTCAACATGTTTTTGCTTGCTCCATGATGATGTTTTCTTAAGTTTACCATGGCTTAATCTTGCCGAGCTATGGTACTCAAAATCCTACTGGAGAATACTCTTCGAATAGAATCCAGTAGGATTTTGAGTACCACATTCGATTCATTCACCTTCTTACTGAGCTTTTATCAATCATCAGTGAACTGGTGTATTCCTTGGTTCCTATCATCTACAAAACGAGTTCAAAACGTCAACATTTGCATGATTAGGATTGGCATTTCTCAGGACTTCAGTATTGTTCTAAGTTGCAAAGAGGAGGAAGAGGAACAAGAGAGTTTTAACTTTTAAGTTGTGGGGCATGGCTAGCAATAGAAGATCGTTTGCCACCGAGGAGAACACTATAGAGTGCCCAAGCTGACCATCTCAACTATTATGTCCAGCTCCGTCACAAGTGCTATAAGCCTTGCATGGTTCTGGGTCGTGGATGTGGGGAGGAGAGGGGAGAGGAAGGGAGAGAGAGAGAAAGTGGGGGGAGGAGAGAAAGAGATGGATGGGGAAGGGAGAGTGAATATTTTATAAAAAAAAAATTATTGTGGAACCCACTAACAAAATCTCTTGCCAACAAATGGACGAGAAAACGGCAGGGTACTGATGCAGCAAAATTTGACCGTTGAAGGATAAAAATGACTTGCAGTTGAGTTTAGGGTGTCCAAAAACTTTCGAGTAAAATTAACCCTAATTTTTATTTTTTTTTTAATCCTACCTAAAAGGATAAAGCACATAAGTCTTTCTTTAGCACTTGGCTTTGCTCCTCCGACGCTTTGCTAGGAGGAGCCTCTGCGGCACCCCCAACAAAATCTAGGGTCCAGATTTAATTTTTTTTATTTTTTTATTTTTATTGAAATAAAAAAATTATAAATTATTTTAATAAATCTTGTTACTAATGTGGACAATCTAGATTTAATATTAATGGTCCAAATTTAATATTAAATTTTTTTATAATTTTTATAAGTTGTTATTCAAATATACAGTTTGATGTGAAATATTTAATTTGTAATTTTTTAAATATTTTCCAAAAATGTATTTTAATATATGTTTGCACTGTCCAAAGAATATCTAGATAATCAATTTATAAAAAATGTTAACATTAAATTTCAACCATTCATATTAAATTTGCACTATTTAGAGTACATCTGTTTAGATAATCAATTTACGGAAAAAAAATTAAATAGGGAGAATGACAAATAAAAACCTTGTAAGAACATTAATGTCAAATTAGAAACTTTAGAACTGGAACATGGTAGAAGGAGTACTGAAATTTGGAACATCAGTGTTGAAAAGTCCTAATTTGACATTAATGCTCTTACAAGGTCCTTATTTGTCAATCTCCCCAATTAAATATTAAATGTGGACCATTAATACTAAAACTTAGGCTGTCCAAATTGATAACAAGATTTATTAAAACAATTTTTATAATTTTTTATTTTAAAACAAATAAAAAATAAATTATTAAATCTGGACCATCCAAATTAAATCTCGACAGTCCAGATTTTGTTGGGGGTGCAATAGAGGCTACTCTGAGCAAAGCCTCGGAGAAGCAAAGCCAAGTCCCTTTTTTCATCCCAACCTTACATTTCCCTCCTATTTCAGCAGCTAACTTTCCATTATACCAAATATAACCAAATGACGATAGCTATAAACCAGTCCACCTTACCTTCAAGGCATCACACTTAAACCGGGCATTGAGGTTGGTATGAAGAGCTCTACCCATCCCTTCCAAAATTATCTGCATAGTACAAAAAAAAAAAAAAAGCTTGATTAAAATATGACTTTTTGGCTTTCATTAAACTTCCCAAATAAACAGTATGAGCCTCTCACCAAGTCAGCATCTTTAGCAGCAGCAGCCAACTCAGAGCTGACCTGTCTTAAGTCTATACAAGGACTCCCACACCCATTCTCAACAACCATCAAGGGAACTGAAGTTGAACTTTCTTTAGAGCTGTCTGAAGTGCTAATCATTGCATCCACAAGTAAGCCTCCGGCTTCAGCAGCTCGCCTAAGAATGTCACAATGCTGTAGGCTTAAAAGAATTAGTTCTACTTCTAAAGCTTTAACTAATCAATAAACACCATGGATGCAATGATTAAAGTCAACAAAAGGACAAGAAGAATAATGTGGACAACATTGGGATCTTCCAACAAGCCATATAACCATATATGAGAACATACTTGAATTTTATAAGGGTTCTTTAAACATCACAAAGATCAGAGGTTGGAGTTCATGAAAACAGACCTTAGCAGCCTCAGCTATGATGTCAGGAAGTTCTATTGCAGTTATATCATTTAATGCAGGGAGGGAATTTGCGACCAGAACCACCTGCAAATATACCCTTTTTCATATCTTAAAGTATATCACAAAATTCAGAAGCAAACAAACAAGTGACTGAAAAGCAGCTGAACTGACAGCCAGAAAACATTCATTATTTTTTTAAAACTCTATCATCAATTAGAATTGTCCGCCCTCTGCATTGCATGAAGATAATTAAACATCTAAAAGGACAGAAATCAAAGATACACAGTAAAGTAAAATAAAAAGACACGAGAACATTGTTTAGAAACACTGTTAATTGATGTGACCTTAGAAATAGAGATCTACAGTAATAAATGGTGTCAACTGCCTTGTATACAGATCCAAAAAATGTCAAAGGTTGGTATCAATCCCATCAATTGTAGGAATGATTTGTGTCTTTGATTGCTAATTGTTATATTTTTTAACCTCCTAATTTTTCTGTTATCTCTTGTATTTTGGGATTTGAATAGATAAGCGTTTTATTGGAATTGAATCCTCTCTATACTTCCCCTCAATACCTTTCTCCATACATAATCTCGTCTATTTATTCCATTATCCATTTAGTTTAACGGTGTAAGATCCCTAATTATGGCATTAAACTAAATATATCATTTATTTAATTACTACCATAAAGAAACATTATGATCTTGTTTTCACAAACATTTAAGTGATGATAATACAAGCATGACAATTAAATCAAATGGATAGAGGAGATTGCTAATGGAGAGATATATTGAGAGAAAGTATCAAGAGGATTTAAATCAACGTTTTATTTCCTTTTCCTCTCTGTCTTAATGTCTTGTGTAAGCCCCTGTATCATAGAATGGGCACCAATAGAGTTAGAATCATCTTGGTATCTCCTCAATTTTTCAAAAAATAAAAGAAGGGTTAGTTAACATATGTCTACTGACTAAAAATACAACTAGAATATAATACCTATTTATTCAATCAAATACCACTTTGCGAGGATCAATAGAAGGAAAATTATCAAAACAAATAGTATAAAATATTAGTGAGGAAGAGAGAGAACTCACTTCAGTTCCACGCCGAAGGAACTCTCTTGCCAGGGGAAGCATCCCTAGAACAACATCAGCACCTGAATTATCCACAAAGAGCAAAGCTCTTCTGTGTGAGGTAGGCTTTCGATCCCCACTCCCCAACATTCTCTCTTTGAAGTCATCAAAATTATCCACCTAGATGCAAAAGATTGGTTTATTATTTTACTATCAACTATGATGAATAAATTCAGAAACCAAGTACCCTCATCAAGTGCAATTTAACTCCACATACCTGCCAAGGTCTCTGCATTTTGTTGCGGCTCATTCTATAAATTTCAATAATTGTTCCTTGATGATAAAGATCTACACATGCACGAGATCCCCAATCAAAAATGTTGGCAGCAAGAACACCTTCAATTAGTGCAAGTAGTCTTGTTTCCTGAAACAAAGGATAGTTTCAGCTAGCTTACAATGCCAATTTATGAGATGCTAACTCATCTTAAGCACCGCATATTTGCAACTTGTATGAGTTTAAGAATACGCATTGTATCTGATTAATCCAACTTCCCTATCCAGATTTACATCTATACAAGTTACTAATATGTCCAGGACATGTTTCTTTCAGAGAGGAGTAAAGTGCCAATGGGATCATCCGATCATGAATACAACAAAAGAAAGATCTGATATCAAACTCCTTACTCCTCCCAGCATTCTGGTTTACAGGATTATAGTATTATTCAGGCATACCTCATCCATACTATCAAGCTCCACCAGCAAGTCGGGTAAAACAGCAAGTGAAGCCTCATTTTCCCTGTTACATATATAATTTTAAAATTTTAAAAAAGTATAGATTATAACCAATAAGGTAACTTTTTAAGGCTAATGAGAAAATTATTGACCAGCAAACTCCAAGTAAGTATCTCAACTTCACAGCTTGATGAAATAAAAATTACCTCTGCTTTATACTTCTATAGGCGTCAACAAACTGGAATTCTCTCAAGCACTCTTCTCTCATTTCCAATAGATTCGCCAAGCCTAATTTCCCATATGCAGCAGGTTCTTCCATCAATCTATTTAATCAAGGCGGAAGTTGATCAGAGGAATAATTTTGGAAAATTATGCATTGTCACACATAAAAATAATCAAATAAAAAACCTAAGCTTCAATGATGAAAGTAAGCCCAGACAGGAAACTCATGCTAACCTACCTTGCCAAGTGAGCAGAAAATGCACGAGCAAAAGCATCACCCCTTCTTTTGGCATCATCAGTTCCACCTTCACTTGCGACTGCCTACCATAGTTTACAAGAAGATGAGCAAGGAAGTGCAACCAACAAATGAAAAACCAAATAAGCCAACAGTTTTCATCCAGTGTACACTGTGCATGGATATCTCTGATTGTACACTGTCACAGTGTCATCAATACTCACATTGATATAAATTGCCATATAAAGAACAAATATAAACACCACGCATTGAGGTCAAGAGCTTTTTAGAAAATATGATTTACCTTGTCCACAAGATCAGGCAAGTGCTCTGAAAGAATTGTGAACCAATATCTACATTATAGTAAGCAATGTGTAAGCAAAACATGGGAAACTACTAAATCTCTGCTTTAAATTAAAACGTTTAAATATAGAGCTAGACAATTTAAACAAATCTACTCACTCTAATTCACTGTGATCTGAGAGATCAATAGTATTAGGCTCATACCTGTAGAGATGAAAATTTGATAGTCAAGTTAAAAGGAAAAAAATGGTGATAACAGATAAATACCATTAAAATATATATATATATATATATATATGATAAACTACGTGAAAAAGCACACAATTGAAAGAGCAATAACTAACAACACACTTCTTAGATAGTTTCTAGTTATAATGTTGGAACTTGGAAGCAATGACCCTGTAACAATTGGAAGTGTATTTCAAAACCAAACATTTGAGTAAGAAAATAAAAGTTATCTCTGCCAAAGAGCAAGGTGATGATAAAGGGAGGGAAACCCCTCTGCTGCTGCCGACTAAGATAGTCACCAATCAGCAACTCTACATGCATGTTCACATAAGCAAAATTTCCAATAGAGTCATCTTATAAGTCAATGTTATTTACCAAAATATAAGATCATAAAAGCAGCAAATGAAGATGAGGATTTTTTACACTCAGAAGAGAAAGCGTCAAATAATCGTGCATACGTTTTAGGGTCAGCTAATAATGGAAACACCTCCAATGTTGGTACTAGGTGGAGTACACCAACATTTAGAGCACTGGCATCAGACCGCAGAGTACTTCCTTTTGACAAAGGTACTTCAAAACCCCCAAGTCCTGTAGTTCCAGGTGGAATCATTGGCACAGGTGCAGTTATCTCAGTTCCCTTTTGCAAAAACTTCTCCATCCACGAAATCTGTATTGGAACGACAAAAATCTGAGTGAAATTTATAAATAAAAATATAATATCCTAATGGATCAAGCTGCAGCCATATAAAAGTAAAAGAACTAAAAAGTAACTCAAGATTGAATATTTGTATCCAAACTTCTCAGATTTTACTACCACAAACACATTCAATCCATCAACAATTCAGGACATGGACATGGGCTTAGGAAATACGCTGAGGAATATTACAAATTAGGTATAATTTAGGCACGTCTCTGTCTCTCTTCATTCTGGTTGAAAATTAGCCTGCAACCAGTATTTGAAATCAACTGCTCCTATTGTTCAAATCATTAACCAAGAAATGGTTGCACTTCAAAGGTATAATAAAAAAACCCCTCACTAATAGATATTGCAACACAAGATAAACAAGCAACTGATGAACAAAAGCTGATTGAATCAATGTGCCCATTGAAGCAGGTAGTAAATAGCAGCGTTAGGGTCTGTTTGTTAGCAAGAAACTGGCCCCTTGGAAAGGGAAAGAACAGTCCATTCTCTCCATAATGCACTTTTAGAAGGCTGAGTCCATATATTGTAGCTTTGATGGAGGAATGAGCTTTCACCGCAATTAAAGGGAAATCCTTCAGCGACTGGAAGGAAAGGGGAGGGCACTGAAGGAAAGACAGGATAAAAGACCAAAACAGTCCTGCATCGTTTATACACAGCTGTCCAAAGCCTCGAAGCCCCAACAGGTAACCTAACAATTTGAAGGAGGACTCAGAAGCTTCACCCACTACCACAAATAAAAGCCGTTGAAATGCAACCAGAGGCAGTACCCATTGATTGAACTCAGCATCTTCAATTGTTTAGGAGGTTTGCACTAGATCCAACCATCAAATTTGTGTGGGTGTCAGAAATGGAGGCTTTCAATCAAAAAAGGAAGACCGGTCAATTTTTTATCAAGCTGTCAAACTTATGTGGGTGATGGAACACAACATCTTGGATTACCAGGGAATTGCTTTCTGGTGCTTTTTTGTTCGATCAAATATAATAAATGTCTTATTTTCCAAGGGTAATACTGATATTTCAATCTATTCCCTTTCTATTCTTACTCAATTATGAAACCAAACATTAAATAAGTACTAAATTTCTGTTCTTTTACATGACATAACAAAAATGATTGTAGTATTCGTCAATTTTTCCCATTCATTTTTCCCTTTTTTATTCTTTTCCATAAAGCCCATTTCCTACAACCAAATGGATCTCCATAGATACATTATGTATTGGAGCATTTTACATGTTCAACTTTTAATAAATCTTCACATAAATAACAAGGATGCTGCTCTGGTTAGCAACCTTCACTTCTCTCCTCATCCTACTACACAATACTTCATATTATAAGCTTTGTACAACGTTCACTTTTGATTCCACACTTTCTATCTTTAGTAGCCATCCAAATTGGTGTAGGCAATTATCTCAATTCAATTTACTACGATTCCATAGAATCTCAATAATGGGTAACTATTAGCGATTTAATACAACTTCAAAAGAAATCTTTGAGATGATGAAGTGGGACTGTGGGACCTCTTTGATTGTTTCAGAACTTATAGCTGGGGAAAACTTCCCAAGTTGACTTCCAAGTTTCTCAATGTTGAGAAAATAAGCGGAAACACCTGAAATTTATCCATTTATTAGCAGGACGCTAGCACTTGCCTTCTCGTTCAAATTACCAAGTGGAGGGCCATGAATCTTGCCTCCAGTATACGGGGCACCCATTGGGAATCTTTCAACTAACTGGTGCACCATGAGGTCATCTAGACCATGCTTTTCATAGCTCATAAATGCTCCGAATGCTCCTAGGAATCCTTCATGTCGCAAGAACATTGCTTGTGCTGTCCCTTTAGACCTAAATCACAATTTACAAGTAATTAAATCTAAAGAGTCACCAAAAGAAATTTAGGTTCCAAGTGAAGTCATCAGTAATCTATGCACCAGAACTGAACAGCAAAAGAAATAGTGTCCATGGTATATGCATGACCCCGTATAAAAAATCCTCCAAAAAAGATACGCTTCAGTCCAAATCGCAGTGCATTCAAATAAGATATCTACACAGAAGAGAAGAAAAGGATACAGATTGGTTGGGTACTCTGGGAGAATAGATATTGTAATAGAATATGAAAGCTGCTGAAGTTCCAGCTTGCCAAAAAAGTCAGCCTACCTGACCAATATTGTATGAAATCATTCGTAAAAGAGACAAGGAGATATCTTCAGGTCTATAGTCTTCAAGCTCCTTTTTGTCTGATATAGCCTTGCCAAAACTTGAAGCTATGGTTGAAGCTGATAGGCCAATCTAGGATTATTTAATGTCAGTGAGTATCCAGTCACAACGAAGAATCAAAGGATCAAATGATACAAATCTATCTAATCAATAAACTAAAGTTGATTTGAATCTGTTTTCTCCATAGGATTGCACAACAAAAAGATCAACCCCAAAGTTTACCTTAGAGTAGTCCATACCACCATAAATATCCCCAACAAGCATATCAATGGTCCTATTATCTCCTTTTTGACTCAGCTCCAGCAACTCATCAAAACTGAAATTCATTCCAACAATTACTTCAGCAATAATACCAAAATAACACTAAAAAAAAATTAAAAGTAAACAAATATAAAAGATAACCTCTTGCACTTTGTCAAAAGCCTTCCCAAGCCCCAATATGTACCACCACCAACATTCGTGCCACTAACCCTCTCAAATTTCCCATCCCCATCAACCTATATAGACTCAAATTTAACAAGTATACCACAATTCAATAGTATTTACCACATCTAAACGAAAGAGATCAGAAGGTAATTAAATGAGGAAAGAAGGGGCAAATATACCTTGATCATACTAACACCAGATCCAATATTAACTAGAAGATAAGGAAACAGATCATTGGGGTCAATTTGAATGAATTCTTTTTGGCCCTCCATATGGGTGAAAGCTTCATGACGAATTGCCTACTAAGAGGAAGCAGAACTTCTAATCAGCAATTATTGATAGCAATACACAGACACATGGATCAATCATCAATAACAAATTACATAGTATTAGCATATGTCCTTCACATGTTTCAAATTGAATTGAAAGGAGACCAATACAAGTTGCCTTCCTTCATCAGAGAAGACTTAACATGGAACTCAACCAGATCTTACTAGATAACTAATGGAAAGGAACAAACTATGTCAAGAAGAAAAGGGAAAAACAACTCTGAGAGATAGATAACATACCAAATCCAGACCTTCCTTCAAGCAATTTTTGCCAAAAAAGAGTATCATCAAGCATATACAAAATCAAATATATATTGCCTATCTATATTGGAACAAATAACATCCAAGTGCTGGCAAGTTACCTTCAGAAACAAATAAGTTGACAAAAGAACCAAGTCAAAACCATAAAAATATTATTTTCATTAATTACTTATTTCTCGATTAGAGATAAAGAAGTACTCATACACGATTAAGATAACTAACACATCAACTCTATACTATTACATTACAAAAGGACGAGAAAACCTGACATGTATCTTTCTAAACACTTGTACAACTCAGAAAATGCAAAATTTCAAGCAGAATTTGTAAAAAGATGCCAGAGAAACATATTATTTAAAACTAGGGATTCACCTTAAGCAAGAAATTTGCTCCTGACACAAGACATGCCATTTCATCTTCTTTTTCAATACTAACCCCAAGTTTTTCTTTGAAAAGGTCAGCAAACTTGTAAGCTCCACCTCCTGTAGCCTTTGTTGCAAAATCATTGCATTAATGATTTGTAGTTGCTAATTAAAAAAATCATTTTGACAAAGCCTGGTTGGCAAACAATTCATAAACAATAAATGGATTAAATCATTTCAAAACTATAGGCTCAAGCATGCAAGTGTAGAATATATTAAAACAGATATTTTAGAACAGTGTATAATTAATCCACACATCAACAGAAAATCCATCCAGCTTTTGAAAATGCTAAGATCAGTTGGCAACATAAAATTACCTTAATTATGGCATCCCGGTCAGCCACATTATCAGAGTAACGTGATTCCAACCCTACAGGTCAGCAATAGCGCATGATTGAAATCATGGAATCATGGTTAAATTTCCACAAATAAGAAGCAGATGAATGAACGTGCAGGAGGTTACAAAATTGTAAAATGAGAGCCAATTGAGCTAATTTAGAATAATGAGAATAGCAATAATACCATACCACCACAGTGAAGCTGCTTTGAATGAATAAATTCTAAGCACTCATTTATCTTGCTGGTCTCGAACTTCACAAAATGAAGTCTCCCACCGAGAATAGGATAGCTTCTCCTGTTAACATTAGAAATTCCCAGTCTCTCCTTCACGCTTTTCTTCCTTTTATCATTGACTGATTGGTTTTCGTGTCTTGAAAAATACACCAACTTTATCAGAGATCCTGCCCGTATACATCAAATAGTACTCACAATCTCAGAAGTATTTCAGATGCTACCGAACTATTTATTCGTATTTGTAAGATGTAATTGAAGAGTTACTTGTCACTGAATTGGAAACAAAAACAAAAAGAGTTGCATCTACTACATGTATTTCCTGAGGGGTTGCTGTAAAAAAAGATCGAATTTATTAATACCAATCTATTTAATCTTGCATGTCTTGTATATAGGCACCAAGCAACTGATACAAACGTGATAAACTAGCAACTTCCCCAAAACATAAAACGCAATATCATGAAAAGAAGATAAACTGGAAAAAAGTCTGCGACCCCATCTGATTCCGCCACGTTTACTAGGAAAATCCAACAACTTCAAGACAAATAATAGAAGCTCAACCTCACCCTGAAACAGGGACCTTAATTTTACCTCCAAGGTCAAGAGCCAGATGAGATATATCATCAGATTGGTTGGGTAACAAAATAGTGGGATACTTCTCCTCAACATTCCCTTGAATTTCAGCTTTACTGACATCGAGCTGAGGCCTTGAACTCGAGCGGTGAATTGAATTGCCGGATGTGGGTGCCATATTATTCTCCCCTTGACTAGCGCCCTCCTCGGAGACCACGGGCTTCTGCGAGCGCTTCTTCTCCTGCTCGGCCTCCGTGTCCTTTATCCTACGAGCCCCTCGACCTTGATCTTCCGCCAGAGCAGCCATATATATTTAAGAAACGAGCAAGCTAAGTGCCCTTGGTCCCTAGCCCCACCAAACCTTCTCTAACGTTAAGTCTTGTGCTGAAAGAAACATAAAATATACTTTTTCTCCTTTTACTATTTTCTTGATTAGAAAAATCGTCAACTACCTTCACCGCATTTGGGTAGAGGAAAGGATGATCTTTTCAAAGTCAAAACCAATAATCGTGACCTATCAATTCAAGATTCACACAGGTTCGACAACCACCCAACGGCGGCGTGTCGGTCATATTCTGTCCAGATAATTTAAATAAAAAAAATTAACAAATACAAATAACAGAAATAATAAGAAAGTAAAGAGTCTAAAATATCTTTAAGAATTTAGATTATCCTATGATAATTGGGATTGTAAGTGAAAATTAAGAAATTATCTCTGAGGATTATTCTTTATAAAAAACTAAAAATTAATTACATAATTTTTCCTTCTTCTTCTTCTTCTTTTTTTTTTTTGTTGAAAGGTGTAGATTTCGTTACAGCACGAGCATACAATACACTGAATGATAACCTTTCAAAATATTTAAATCTAAATAAATAATAATATCTCTCTCCAGATCAAAGGAAACTCGTTATTTATGGGATTTTCTTAACATCTTGAAGCCTGGCACGTGGGGAGGCTTCCAGATTAATTATTATTCATGATAATTAAACTGATCATTAAACCTATCAGAATAATTATTCATTATTCATTGGTTGAACTATAATCACATTATTTATATGAAATAATATTTACAAACGTTTTAAAACTAATTGAAAATAAAATTTAATACATTTTACTTAAATAAAGAGATAAATAAATTAAAATACAAATATTATTTATACACGTGTTAAGAAAATCTTATTAAGATTAAAAACATCATCAAAGATTAAAAAAATCTACATTTCAAATAATAATTAAAATGTTTTAGGTTCTTCTAAACTATGATCATCAAGCATTTTTTTAGAGGTAAATTTAATCAGAAATTTAAAATATTTTGAGCAAGAAAAAATATAGATAAGTACTATGAAGTGCAAGGACAAAATATATATTTATATTATTAATAAAAAAAGTCATGGAGAATAACAAAACATATCGCCAAAGATAAGAAGGGGAAAAAGGAGCTGAGAAGAAACAATGAACAACATTGTAAACTAAGTCCTACATCACTTGGAATAAAAGAGGGAATGGCTAAGGCTCACTATAAATGGAAGCAACCGGATGATCCTAAGAAAAATTTCACTAAAGACCTTTGGACCAGAAGTAGTAAAGAAGAGAACTCCTAAATTTTTGAAACTCCACTATAAGTTAAGGGTACTAAATTTAAATTAAAATTCTCTAAGAAATGATAAGATTGTCCCTATTGAAAGAGAAAAGAAATTTAACAGGAAAAACTGAATTATAAATATGAAGGGCTATAAACAAGTAAAGTAAGACAATGAATATAGCATCATAAATTCTTAATCCTGATAATAGATGTTAATTTAAGAATAAATTAGCAATAATCGGGTTGATTGAATAGTCAGAATTTTGAATGGTAAGTTGACATTTTGACTTGTTAGAATGTTAAATGACTAGGATCGAATAGAAGAATGGTAGTTTGGCATGAAGCGGTTGAGCTACAATGAGAAGTTTCTTATTATGTCACACACCACAACATACTCTGTATGCATCACAGCACATTGCACAGAAGTCTCATTAATAAGGTGGTGGATCAAATGTGAGGGTAGAGGAGAAAAGGCAAAAATGAGCACGAAGGAGAAGAGGAAGAGAGATCCTCTACTAAGGCAAGAGATCTTGAAGTATCGGGAGTCAATTGTGACTAATCACTTATTAGGCAAGTTTTGTACCGCCTTAAGCTCATATTCTGCACTAATTTCTCTTAGTTTGAGAGATAGAGAAATTGAATCAGAAAGTTTCAAGGGGTTGTTTCCTTACCTTTAAGTATTAAAAAGGTTCTCAGAGTTTAAATTAAGGATTTTACGACTGGTTTAGTAATTTTCAATTGAACTATAAGGTTATAGATTTAGTTTAACTTGAATTATAAGATTAAAAGGGTGATAATGTGCGTGTAGTTATAGAGGAGCTAATAAGAAATGGTGGAAGACTTAAGGAGAATGATTATGACCTGAGAAGAATAAGTGATAAATTGTGTAGGTTAGCATCGTTCATGTGTGTGGCTTGAGTAAAAGGAGGCTAATAGAGTAAGCAATACCACGAATAATCCTTTCTTATAACAGAAGAGTTGAAGTAATCAAATAATTCATTATGTTTATTAGTTAGATTGATTGTTTACAAGTAAATGTGTATGATATAATGCATGAAATTTGTAAATAAGGGCATGATTATAAACTTGCATATTCTATTTTTAAAAAAGGTTTTATTTAAAAAGTAAATCCTTGTGAAAGTTAATTTAAAAAGTAAACTATTGATTTATATATGTAGAAATTTAAATATGCATATATTTTTATTCACTTGCATTGAAGGGGTGGAAGTTCACTCATATTGAACAGATAAGTATAAAAAATCTATATGGATTTGCTGACACCAGGGGACCACAATGTAACCAATTTAGGGGACTGTTCCATGAAAAATCTGGGCAGTCTAGTAATTCTTTAGTGCTCGTAAGGGTGAGGATAAGAGTTAATGACACCCCTGGCGAGTGTGAAGGGGGAATTCGTAGTCCTAAAGTAGGATTGAACACCTTAGCCTGATGATTCATCTACAAAAGGTTGGATGAGGACTAATTTCTTAGGAAATAGTCAGAGTCACCTACAAATTTAATTGGGGATATACGGAGGATGGATAGACTTGGGATGGTCATAAGTATGTGAACAATGATTTGGTAAAACAAGTTATGTATATGCTATTTGCACCCTTTAAAATTTGAAAAAGATAAATTATTATTACTTGTTTACAGTTATTTTATTTAATAGATAGCTTTGGATTATCTGGCTATTGAGATGTTTATCTCACCTTATAGTTTATATTTTATAGTCCTAAAATTGACAGCACCAAGGGAAAAGAACTGGGCTAAGAGTAGTGAGACTACTAAAGGCTTAGGTGTAATGAATTATAATGTGGTAAATTAGTGTGTTTATAAGTTGTCATAGGAATACATATGTGCATGTGATATTTGATGCACTTGAGTATGTGTGCCTTAACCTTATTTTGTGTGTGTGTGTGTGTGTGTGTGTGAGATCATGTAAATCGAGGCTAAAAGGGCCAAGCTACTTGTGCAAATGCATGATTGTACATTTTGAATGTTTGTATGATTTGTTGGCCAAGTAAGTAAGTTTATGTGCACAAATGTGTAGAAAGGCTCTACCATGTAAAAGGATAGTTAATTGGCCAAAGTCATATGTGATGTCATTATTGATATTGTGTATAGTCAATTAAGTATAAAGTGTCCCATTGGTGGTGATCAAGCCCTTGAAAATGCTAATGACATAAAATGATCATTTTATATTTGAGTGTACAATTTCTAAATGAGAAATCATATTGATATGAAACCTGTGTCATTAGTTAGATTTTGAAATAAGTTACGTGTGGGTGCTTGAATCACCCCAATTGGATATCGGATGTGAAAATGACGCTCAATAGAAGTTCATATCAGCAAAGCTGTTTTGACAGCAAAATCTAATACATGCACCGCGGTGTAGGATTACGTGCCACGATGCATGACATGACGTGAGAGTTGGTGGTTCTATACCACATGCCGTAGTGCATGTAGTATAACCCATGGTGCATAGTCCTATTTAGGAGAAGATTATTATTTTACTATTTTTTTTAATATAGCAGTTATGCATTTCTGAACATTTCCATTGTCCATAACATATATACTTTTGAAAAGTTGTTTTGAATTTTGGGATCTATGTTTTTCTAAATAAATTCCTATAATTTAATAAACTATAGTTAATTGGTAGATTAGACACATAAGATGCTCTGATTACCTTAGTGTGGTTTGTGTGCATGAGTTAATAATGTCTGGGGTAAGGGCATTACAATGAACAACAGTCTGAAGGGTTGAATAATATATAATAGGGACACGAACAAGTCATATTAATAGGAAAGCAACATTTAGAATTAATTCATGTGAGAGCATTGTAATGATTAAGTGAAGCAGGATAGCAAACAACAGTTTGAAGGATATAGTAAAAACACGAACAAATCATACCAATATGAAAGCAATACTTAGAATTAATTCAAGTAAAAGTGTTGTAATAAACAAATGAAGTAAGACAATAAATAAGAAATAAGACAATAAATAACAATATGAAAAGTAATGAACAATATATAATAGGAACACAAATAAGTTGTGCTAAAAAATTTAATAGGGACGATCTTGTCATTTTTTAGAGAATTTTAATTTCAATTCAACACCCTAAACTTGTAGTGAAATTTTAAAAATTTAAGGGTTCTCTTTTTTATTATCTCTAATCCAAGGGTTTGTAGTAAAATTTTCCTATGATCTTATGTGTTAACAAGTCTCAATGATCATGCACATAAACATGGGGCCAAAGTTATTTTTTTTATTTAGCATTAAAAGATTTTTTTTAGCCTAGTTCTTAAATCGAGATTGGTATCACTTTTATCAGTTAATTCAATTGTTGATTAGTTTATTTGGTATCTGATTTTAAGGTTATATTAGATTAGACTTGTAGTTGGTTCTCGATTCAACCAATTAAACCAACGAATCTAGTTTGGTTTTTTAAACCTTAGAAATAAATGATTAATTTAGAGATGCATGACTCAATCTTCATTAGCTATTTCTTCTACAAGCTGATACATGCATGTTGGACTTGAATTGAGTGGTTCAAGCCCATTTATTCAATAAATGTCTCAATTATAATCATTAGATTTTATCAATACTTGACAATTATCAAGATATATGTTCATAAAAAATATCTTATCACTGTTCAAACAAATTACATAGTTATTATCATATCATGCAAAGAATTCAATGAATGAGTGAATATATGACATTCCCTAAATCCAAATCAATGCACACCAAGCATGTTAGCTTATTCTACATATATCAAAATGGGTAGGCTTGGCCTATATTAACATGACCTTAGT